CCCCCGCCCGCCGCCCCCCCCCCCCCCCTTCTCTGACCCACTGATACGATGTTTGCCGCCACCTCTTGGGGAGGCAGGACAGCTGCTCTGCTGCTCTGCTTCCAGACACACAGCCAGCAGCCTAGGGGAGGAGGATGAACATCTCGCTGTGGATGAATGCAAATCCTACTGACTCGGATGCTGAATGCTCTAGTCAAAGTGGGGCAGAAAAGGACCTGAGAAAGCCAGTAAAACATGCTCAAAAGCCACAGCTACTAGCCCAGTCTGGCTCTGTCTCCTGCAGCCACCCAAAGAATGTTAAAATTGCCCTCGGCTGAGGCAAGAGGCAGCAGGTTGTTGCATGACAAGTAACACCACACAGCCTTTCCTCCACCCGCTGGTCACTGACGTGCTGTCCAGAACATGGCTCTTTTGTTTAGAGACAAAAGCCACAGGATCCGAGACATTTATACAAACCAGGATCCAGATGCCTGGGAAAGAACCACCTTTACTAATGCTTATATGCACTGAACATGGCAAAATACAGTTGCCCACCACTTTGAATGCTGCGGTCAAAGGTACTGGTCAGACCCCTTTGTGGCCCCCACAGTTGGATGCCCCAGTAAGGCATCTGTGTCCCCGAGAGCCTTTGGAAGTCCTAGCTTATACAAGCACATTCTTCTGACTGCTGCTGTCTGGCACCCTGAGAAAGGCCAAGACGCTACAGTTATGCAGATACCTACCCGCTCTTCATTGTTGGCATTTTCCCCTAGGCTACTCAAAACGTTCTCTACCCGGGCCAGGCGTCCTGAGAGGGAGAGCAAGAGGTTCACCACCTTATCCAAGTCGCCAATGAACATCTTATATTTGTCAAACTCATTAGGTTTGCATAGCTCGCTGATCAACAGCTCCACCTCCTCTCCGAGAGCATTATTCATCTTAATGTCTGTGAGCAGGCCTTCCTTGGCTTCCTTCAGGATTTCCAGTTTGTGGGTCAAGCTCCCAATGAGCTCAGCCTGTCAGAAGAGAAACACATCGCCACTGGTCGTTATCATAATCACACTGCTCATGCAGATGATGGCAACAAGAAGATACGGCTGCTGTCACTGAGTAGCAGGATTCATTTAGCAACAGCTGATGAAGAAGACATCAAGGAGGGAACAGAGAAGACTGACATTCAACATCTAGCTGAAAACTTGAATACCTGATCAAGTAACATGGAGATATTTCTGTTCTACCATCAGTCAGTATTTTCAAGAGAGACATCTGATTTGGTGTGCCATGTTCTGACACCCAGTTACATATGTTAGAAATGGGATAATTATATGCATTTTTCTTCAAAAGCTGTTTTCAAGCCTCTTCCTGAAAAGAGGTATATGAGAGCTACATCTCCTGCATGGTCCCTGCTCCCTAACACAGCCCTGGAGTTCTTGTCTGGATGTTACACTTTATATTACCCACAGTTGCATGAAACAACTAGTGGAAAAAATGAATTTAAGATTTATTTTTAATGGTGTGGTAAGTGACTGAGCTGGAACTTGCTAATGACATATGTCTTAGCAAGAAAGAAGGAACAGCCACATTTATTTTCTTCCCTCTTACAGTGCACGGAGAGTAATGACTGCTCCTTTCTCAGCCATCTCGGTGTTGAGGTGCAAGCCTCAAATGCACCTGTGACCAAGGAGATATTACCAATGTTCACCGACTGTACAGACTGACTCCTACAGAGGTGCATCAAGCAAGCATTTACACTAAAGATGCTCTAAATTTACTTAGAGACTGAGCAAAGACAGGCAGAGTCTGTCACACACCAAATTTGTGGAAATGCTGACAATTATTTCACTGACAAAGAAAAAGAAGTCTCCAGCGTTTAGCCGCTCCAGAACCAGCCACATTGCACAAATGCTGGAAATCCTAATATCTGTTAGGATTTAGCAGAAAGCTATAGCAAATGCAGAAGTCCTTGGCCCGAGGCTTGCAACTCTGGCTTCCGTTTAGTCATAAGTGAGAACACAGAAAGCAACCTCTTGGTACTTGGGTTGGGTATGTGCAGTCTTGTCTTTTCAGTTTGTGCACTCATGAGCCATCATGACATGTATGTTAATTTATTCTGCATACAAATACTGCAGGATGAAATTGGAATAAATCGCGATGCGGCCTGAAAAGATTCTCTCAAAGTTTATGAACACAGTCGTCTTTCCATCAAAGCTGCTGGTAATTTCAAGTAGGAAGGTGTTGTACCTCAAAGGAAAGAGGCTCTTCAAACACAGGTCAGGCTGAAGGTTGCTCTGAATTGGCCCTTACCCCCAGGGCTTGCCTGCTTGAGTGGTGTCTAAAAGGTAGGTTTCAGAGTCAGGAAGTGAACAGCATGGTTTAGCCAAACACCACTAGATGGTACACTTCACATGCATCCTCTGGAGTGCATGGGCTTCTGGCTGCACTGTAGTCCATCAGTGGCTTCTGCTGATGTGCAGAGGCTGAATAAAATGTGAACAATGTTCTCTCAGAAAATCAGGCTTCCGCTACCGTAAACTAGCAGGCTTATGCCCGTAATGACTGCTAAGTCATGCCATCTTTCGGCAGGTAGTCCAGGGAGAGATGACGGCAAAGGTGAGACTATACCCCAGCTGCTAGGATAACAGACGGCCAAGACTCCTTTACCTAGATTCTCCCCTCAAGAGGACAGGTAGCAGCATATAGGGACAAGAAGCTGTATCCCCCACCCTTTGCCTGTGATGCTAAAGCCATGCTCAAAAAGCAGGTTTTCACGAGGCCAGAGCTGCTGCAGATGTTTTGCAGGAGGCTTTGGGGCTGCAGGGTCTGAAGCACCTTTATTTTGAAGGCCTCTCAGTTGGAAGGGGACTGCAAAACACTTGCTTTATGTTGATTAATCAGCGACTCTCCTGTGATCCTGAATGCCAACCAACATAGCTCCTTTGCACATTTACAACAGAAATGAGCTTGGTTTACCCAAATGATCCCTCAGAGTAGCTGCCTTCTCAGATAATGCCTATGCAAATGGTATTTCACACAGACCATGAGCAAACATGCCAAGGCAATCTCCCTGTCTGGGCCTAATCACTCTAATCTGTTTCTGTTTTTCCATGCAAATGTAACCTTTGAGTCCTGGGACTTGTTCTCCAGAGGCAGGCTCACACCTACTTGCAAGCTTGTCAGATGCCTGTAGCGTGCCCACTGACTCCTTGGAGCAGCACCTTTGTCTCGTTTAATCACTTTGAATTGAACAGCACCCCAAAAAGTGCTATAGATGCAGCAAGGCCTGTGATTACCTTTGACGCTGTGTGCCCTATAACCAATGGCTTAGGCCAGCTTATTAAAGCTGCAGCCAAAGGCCTTAGTCAAATGCTTTTGATGAGCTACATGTGCGCAATCTGTCTAGTGTAGATCTGCTATGCAGAACCTCTGCAGGACCGCAGAAATACGAGAGGGCAGGGAATGTGAGCGCAGCTAGCCCATGCCAGTGCCAAGGCATGACAGCTCCCTAGAGACACTGTCTTACCTGCACCTCGCACAAAATGGGGCTAATCTACTCACTCACTAGTCCTAATTTCGGCTACAGTGCACCTTGAGGGAGGTCCCATTCTAACTAGCATTTTATTAACGCCTGGTAGAAAGCAGATTTTGCCTAGTAGATAAAAGCTAAGAACAGAACAGTGAGGTAATATCAGGAAGAGAGAGGTGAGCTGTCCCTCTAAGCCAGGGCTGCAGGACAAATTGCATACTCCCCAACACCACCCACCCTACCGCTTTACACTTGGCATAGGGGTGGGACCCTGAGAGCAAATGTGGAGCCATGCTAGAGACATGTCAATTCCCTAAACTGTAACAGAGGCTAAATCCATGCCTGATTTCAGTGCGGGAAGAATTAAGTACTACGTTTACAACACATGGGACTTGCACAAATAGTTGTATCCTTCAGTATGTTTAAACTCAGCTGTTGTACTAACAGAATAAAATACGGGCTGTGTTCCTCTGTGCAGGGCAATGTAGGATGTTCTAAATTTACAGACAGGCATGGCTGCTTTTGACACGCAGGTAATAGTTGAGTGAAGGAAGGCACCAACATGTGAGTACCTGCCTGTGATTCCTTTAGGTTTGTAAACTTTGCAACGTGTCTGTAATGAGCGGGTCACCAAAGTAAGACAACCACAGCAGCAAGTTAGAAAGCTCTGCTAAAAGTCATGGCAGATAGAGCACCCGGGCCTCCAGCAAGAACCGCAGGGGATACTCCTCAGTGAAATTTAGCTGCCGTATGAGAGGAAAATGTTTCCTCCTGACCTGCTCTCCTTCTTCTCCCCATCCCATGCCCAGTTATCACAGCCCCATTATGCCGACTGAACTGCTGAAGTGAACACAGCTTCCATCGTGAAACAGTAAGGGATGGGAACAAAAGAGTAAGAAGTGTTTCTCTGGTGGCAGTGAGCGTGCCCAGCAGGTAAAATGGGTAAATTGGCTTCGCTAGGGAGAAAAATCATAGCGTGAAACCTCACACACCGAGACAGTGCAGCCACTGGCTAGATTCCGTTCCTGTCTCTGATGTGGTCTGTCCTTGCTCAAGACACTTCTCCTCTCCCTTTTTCTTTGTTGCTTTGGGGTAGGGACGACCTCTTACAACCTATGCATGCAGCATGTGGCACAATACAGATCAACCTGAGGCTCGTGCTGGATTTGCGATGAGCGCTCAGAGAAGCACTCTCCACTCGCAGACACGTGAAGGTGTGATCTAGGTCGCCCTAATGAAGCTTCACACATGGCCTAAATGCACCCAGCTCCCATGTAATGTACAAGTGTGACATCCAAATGCTGACATCAAATAG